GCCACAGGTGAGAAACCTATAATATATTCTGCTGATTTACTTAATCAAAAACTCTTTGAAAAAAATATCTTTAATGTTATGGATAAGTAAATGGAGGAATCTGGTTAATAACTTAATTATAATGCCTTATATTTATTTTGACTAAGTCTTTATTTTAACTAGTGGGTTAACAAGTACCCAACAATTGTCTGAATGGATCTTTGCAGATGTTCATCACATCAAACTTTTTTCCTCTGTCCATGCTTTCACCTTTATTTAAAAAAAAATAATGGAAAATCATAAATACCATTGAAAGAAAATAGTGGCTTTTTGATAAGTATTCCAACTGTATGGTAGCCATTCTAGTGGTATTCTCTTCCAAAAAGATAAATATATTTCAGGTGTTTCTTCATCAAATATACTTTGAAGTATTTAATTGCTAACTTAATACCAGAAATACATATGTGATAAATAAATTTTCATGAATAAATCATTGCAAAAATATTAACTTCTTCCAATAATTATAATAATACATAACTAAAGATTTTTAACATTCTTTCCTTTAGTGAGATTTGAAGGATCTCTTGTCTTTTTTTTCTTTTCTCTTCTTGTAGTCCTAGACATTAAACCTAGAGTTGCTTTACCACTTAGCAACATCCCCAGCCCTTTTTTTTTTTTTTTTATTCTGAGACAGTGTCTTCCTAAGTTGCCTAGGATAGCCTAGAACTTGATATCCTTCTGACTAAACTTCTGGAGTTTCTGGAAATTACAGGTGTGTGCCCCTATACCCAGCTCTTTTGTTTCTTTTTCAGTTTGAGATATGGCTTTTTTTCTTTCTTTTTTTCCTTTTGGTTATTCTACAACATGACATTCATAATTTTTGTCACTGTACATACAGTTGAAAATAATAATTATGTAAGCCAAAATTTTAAAATTTTATGAAAATTACTGAGCCTATTTGTTAATAGAAAATGAACGTATCAAATACCATGTTGCATCTCAAATAATCTTGCCATTAAATGCAAGTTTCATGAAGTCAAATTGATACTGAGAGCAACATAAAACTTTAACATATTCCACAATATGGACATATGCTATACTGCTTTTATCTTAAGAAGAGTGTCTTAATTTATGTTTCCTATGAATCAGAGCCTGAGTTATGAGCTTCTCTGCAAGTAGTGAAGAGGTGACCCAGAAGGACTAAGGAATCAGAGACTATTGTTCAGAGAAGTGGGAAAGCCACTGTGCATGCTTTTGAGACAGTCATTATGAAATAGTAACTAAGACCACAGCAATCACATACAAAATGCCTCTCATACATTTACCCCTTAAAGGATGATAAGAAATGAGAGCCTGAGTGTACCCACTGGTAAAAGCTACTTTGGAAGAGAAGTTCTCATATACCCAGGCTGCACCAGTGTGCAGACCAAGTGGTTTCTCAGGTTGTAGGAAGAACCAGAGGCACAAAGCACCCTTGGTCCTAAATATCCACAGCACAATGAGCATTCAAGCTGGCCAGTTACAGTTGAAATCAGAGGTGGGACAAGAAAAGTAATGGTGTATCTAATTCTCTATCAATATAAAGTTTGATTCAAAATCTGGGAAAAGCACTATTATAAAATAATTAAATGAAAGCCAATATTACATTATCTTACACTAATAAAATAATAAAAGATTTAGAATAAACTGAGATTAAAATAAGAAATAAAATCTTCCTGAGCAAGGACTAGCTCTGAAAAGGCAAAGATTTCACTTCAGGCTATGAGCAAATAAATGCACCCTGGCCAGGACAAGCTGAAATTTGTCCATTCAGATTTGAGAAAAACAACACATGGTTTACCTGCTGAGTGTCTGGAAAGGGACTAGGAGGAATAGTAAAAAAATAATAATAAAGAATAGAAGATATGAAAGAAAAACACATAGATAAGAAAATGCAGAGAACTCTACAAAGGATTGAGAACGTGATCAAATAAGCTTGATATCTTAACAAGTAAAGGAATTAGTTTGGAAATCTACTGAAAATTATTGGGAGAAAGAAAGGAGTTGTAACAGGAGGCAACTCAGAAAGTTTAATTCATAGTTAAGCTAAGTAAGAGTACCATGTTACATGCAGCATTATTAAAACTTAGGGAGTAGGTTCAAATAAACACTATGTATGATATCATGATTTAATATCTATCAATCGATTACTAAAGGTCCTAATTTGATCATATACACTTGAAAACACATTTAGATATTTCAAGAGGTTTTTCACTGTGCATTAAGTATAAAATTAATAAAATCTTTATGAATATTAGAATATTTAGAATATGCAATGTATTGACTGTATATCATTATGAAGAACTTGCAGTACCTATGCATACATACATAATATATACACCATATTCTTTGCCTTACAATAGATTTAAATGTGGTTTATTTTAGTGATAAACAAGTGAATATACCTTAAATTGATTTTGGAAGTAGACATTTTTAAAAATATGTACAAATAATTTTATTAAAAAATTCAATAATAATTATTGTCACTACACTAAGCTACTAAGTAATGTTCAATATTGATAAATCATGTAAATTGTCAGCAAATGTGACTTTAATTTTCCATATGTGACCAGATTTTTTTAATAGGGCAATTGTAAATTAAACCTTCCACACTAGAAGTAGTCCATTTTCTTATTAGACTAGCATTAATCATTGACTATATGAACAAGTCCTTTGACTATGATTAGATATGAACTGAATATTGAGTGTGAATCCTGAAACCACAAACACAGGTATTTCATTTTCCATAGTTTGAGTCATAGCCACTTGTCAATACACATTGCAACTTCATGGATTCTGAATAAATTCTTTGGTAAGTATTTTAACTAGTAAACAGTCACATGATGAAGTCTATCTCTCTGACTCTAAATGTAAACACAATTTTAATAATGACATTTGTGCATAATTTAGCCACTCATTTGTCCTATTCTCCAATAAGTAACAAACCTGGAAAACATGAACAGTTCTCAATTTAGCCCTTAGGAGGGTCAAATCATTGTAACATTTCACTGCCCTCTACAGGATGCTAATATAAATTATTTGGGTGGAACTCTTCTTGCATATAATTTAAAAATGAAACTGGCAAGGAAGGATGCCAAACTTAAAACGATGGTTGCACAGCAAAAAAAGGAGATGCAAATTAAGTTTTCTATAAAATTAATGAATTGGTGAAGACATATAGCACCCAGTAAGATTTCCTAAACTACTGAATATATATCATATTGTGGCAATAACACACAATAGATTGTATGAAAGGTTCAAATGAGAGAGAGAGGGAGAGGTTAAAAAATAAGAGTAAAGGGGAGGGAAAATATTATTGAAAATGAGTAAGTATTATTGTTCAATCTCATTGTTTTTCTCTTTTTTGTTTAATTTTACTTGATTGCTACAATGAAAAGCATCTGTAACATGATGGATAAATTAGAAGGAAAGTCAAACACTTTTTTTACCCAATGAAAATAGAAGAGTTTTATCTTTATAAGATCCCATCCATAGGCTTCTCTCTGAAATACAGTGGGTTTGAAAGTCATTTACATAATAGCTAACAAAAATGTACTCAGGAAAACACCAGGCTTTCTAAACACAGAAGATAATTATGTTGGAAGAATGATATTCCATTGCCATCTCCATTTTCAAGATACATTTATTCCTCCTGTACACAGCATAGAACAACCAAACACAGATTATCATATATTACGTAGGTGTGCGCCATTAGAGTGACAAGGAACAGGGAGTTGGGGCTGATGGGGTCTAAGGCAGAGCAAAAGCCAGGAAGGAAAGAAATACTGCATTCTATTCTTGGCATATATGTACCACCTGAATGGTATTTTTCATTATCTTCTGCACTGGGAACATTCTATTATTCCACTGGGAAGTCATAGCAGAAGAGATATAATTATCAGCAGAGTAATGGGGATGCTCTTGCTAATGGCCAGCTATTCAAATATCTCAATATAATCGTCTTGCCCAATCTCTCCCCATTGCATACTCTTCTGGAGAAACTCATCATTTTTTCCACTTACCCCAGCATAATGAATTCATTTTGCATTTTCTTTGTGAGAAATTAAGAGGAATCACAATATAATGTGTTGACATTTGAAATTCTGCACAGAAAAATTTAGGCTGGCAATTTAGTTTAATCGCAAGCTAACAGGGAAAGGCTGTTTATTAAATTAGTTCCCTGTGTACAGAATGTGTATTTTCTTTGTAAACCTTTGCCTTTGTACCTGGATTTGGATTGTTTCCCCTGGTCTTCATGAGCTCTAATTTTCTCAAAAGGTACAATAATGTGTCCCAGAATAGAGCACTGTGTTCTCTGAGCTCGCTCTCTCTCTCTCTCTCCCTCTCTCTCTCTCTCTCTTTTATGGTGAAAATTGTTGACACTAAAGATGAGCATTGAGTGAGAGAGTCCCCAGGGAAAACTGAAAAGAATAATGAGTGAGAAGTTACCTTTAAGAAAAGCCACCAAAGTGTGTTTTGTTTTCTGTGACCTTAAACCACTATGTTGGCAGCTCATACAGGAAATAACCTTTTTTTTCTTATTAGATTAAAGCTATTATTTCACTTATTTGCTCATATCTGAGTTTGATTAACTATTTCCATATTTTCTGCCTCTTATTTTTCTTTTTAAGAGTTTCCATTTATTTGCTCTAATAAAACTTGTAAACTGTTAATAAAACAGCCTTTCCTTTTCCCTAGGGAATTCTAGATAGTGGGCAGGTGATAACATGAACAGGTAGTAAAACCCTACTACTGAAATCATTGGCTTGGAAGATGTTTCTGCTCTCTTATCTTCCTGCATAGAACATTTAGCTGAGCATCAACATTTGGGAAAGGACAGGGAATAGCATAAGTCTAGGTGTGAAACCAGTGCCATCAGTTGATCAGAAGAAGATTTAAAAAAAAAAAAATTAAAGTGTGCCACAGTTTAATTATCTTCCAACCATGTCTCTTACTCTTGCTTTTATTTTGCTTTTCCTCAGGTAGTTCCATAGCCAAACAAATATCTTGTTCAACCTAGTACTCTAACGTTCTAAGAAGACACATGTTTTGGAAAATATATTCAGAGGGAGCATCCAGCCTTCTGATTTTCTTCAGTCTGTTCTGACCAACACTCAGATGAGAAGGAATGTAGACCTCTCTGAGATCATCTGAGGCTGCTGGGAACGGGAATGAGTGAAAAGCATCATGACCTCCACTTGGGAAGGGGCAATAAAGTCAGCTTCAGAAACTAGCATGCCTCCACAGAACTGCTCTGGCTTCTGAGAGAGCCCAAGCTCTGAGATACTTTCTGCACCCACCACCAACCCATCTGCTCCTACTTGTCTTGCGGCTGACACCCAGAGTCCTTTTCTTCTTGAATTGCCAAGACTACTAAGGTTCTGCTTAGCCACGTGTAAACAGAAATTGGTCTAGAATTTTACCTTCCCTTTTTCAAGTATAATTTCTTTCCAGTCTTTTTACCTTAGCCTTTCTTTTAAGGTAGTCATTGTTTCCGTCTCACTAGGTATATTGTAATCAATAATAAAATCCACTGCATAATTTCAACTATCAATTCTACTGCTGTAAGCATTTAAATATGAGATTTGTCCCTTTGCTTTAATGATGTCCTCTTTCTCTAAAACAGATTTTCCTTAAGAAAGGTAGTTACAGCTTTCTTAATAAAGCCATTACATAAAAGGACAGTGTCTCAATTTGTGCTTACAGGTCTTCCACAATATAAAGAGAAGCGGAAAAGAAATAAAGGCAAGTTGACCACAACTCCCCCAAGGTGCAACTATAAAATTTCTCTGCATGTATTTTACTAATAACTGGTTGGGATGCTATCAGGATGAGATGTTGAATTATTGAATTGCTGTCTTCAGACTCTAATTCATAGCCTACATTTCATTGCTTGCAGAGAAGATAAAGGAAGCAGGAGGTAAGTGAATGATTGAAAAGTATACGTTTAAGAGTGTGTTTTCAAAATAGAAGCTCTGGTTTACAGTCTGAAAGGCAGTCTATTATTATACCACTATACTTAATCACAAGTCTTCTATAAAATGAGGGCACTGCAATTTCTTCTGTGGAATGGCACTTCTCATTTAAAGCAAGTCTAATTACTTTATTTTGACTTCAAATATATTTCTGGAAACCACACTATGAATGGACAATAGACATAAATTATTATCCATAATAGCTTCATTTCAAATTATACAGTTTTAAGAAGTTTTGGTAGTAGGTAAAGGGGAGATGTTATAGTTACTTAGAAGGAGGTTCAGAGAAGAGATATGGCAAATGGGATCAAGCAATTTATCATTAGGGTTTAAGGAAAATCTACTGATTTAAATATTGTGAGAGAAAGAAAATATTTCAAAACATTTGCAATGGTCTGTTCCTTTATCAGTCTCCTCTTTATAGGGACGGTCAAGTACCACTCTTCATAAAAATATATGAATGGAGTTGCAATGACCTGGAAAACAGTGTAGTTCTGTAAAGAAATACAATGGGATTTCAGGCAGTGATATGACCAAAGGTATCTTGGGGGAATGGTGGTATCTGAGAAAAGTTTTAGAATAATCTGTAGTATTAAAATAAAGATAAACATGGGAAATGCTGGGGAATGAAATCCAACAAATTTTGCTATATCTGCATATGAGCATATCACAATGAATCCCACTCATGTATATAATTATAATGCACTAATTAAAAAATAATAATAATAATAGAAAAGAGATCAGTAAAGTGCAGATATCATACTAAGGGAAAGGAAAGTGAAAGTACTGGGGTTTGAGATTGGTCAAATCATGTTATGTTCTTGTATGAATATGGCAGGATGAATCCCATTATAACGTATAATTGTAATGCACTGATATAAAAGGGAAAAAATAAAAATGAAGATGAAAAAAGAAATTGCTCATTTTAGGCAGGGAGGATTGAAATGGCACTCTGTTAGAATTCATTGAAATGTTCAAGCCAGGCTCTCGTTTCTGCCTTCAGTGATAATACACGCATGAAGACCAAGTCCACGACACAACTAGTAATCATAAAGGATTCCAGCATATTTTGAAAGAATTGTTAACAACAGATGCTAATGAGCCCTTAATCTGTAGCTCAATAAGAATAGAAGATCTATGAAGATACCCAAAACAGTAGACTTTCTTTTTTCAAATACTTCACTCTAAAGTCACTTTTTAAAAATGTATTCTAATTAGTTACACATAACAGTAGAATGCACTTTGATACATCATACATAAATTGAATATAACTTTTCATTCTTCTGATTGTACATGATGTATAGTCACATTGGTCATGTAGTCATATATGAGCCTAGGGTAAAAATGTTCAATTCATTCTATTATCCTTCCTACTGCCATACCCTCCCTCCCTTCTCTCCCTTCTGCCTAATCCAAAATAACTCGATTATTCCCTTAACTACTCTCCAACCTTTATTGTAAATTAGCATCTGCATATCAGAGAAAACATTCAGCCTTTTTGGGAATTGGCTTATTCCACTTAGCATGACATTCTCCAGCTCTACCTATTTACTGGCAAATGCCATCATTTCATTCGTAAGTCTAAGTAATAATCCATTGTGTATATATACCACATTTTCTTTATCCATTCATCTGCTTAAGGACATCTAGTTTGGTTCCATTGTTTAACTATTGTGAGGGGAGCTGCTATACACATTGATGTGACTGTGTCACTGCAGCATCATGATTTTAAGTCCTTTGGTTATAAAAAGAGGGGAGGGATGGCTGGGTCATATTGTGGAGTCACTTTTCATTATGAAACAAAACACACACTAAAAATTAATGTATAGGTATAGGTCCCCAATCATGTCAATTGTAGAATACAGGTCTCATAACTTCCCTGATTACTATCATAACTTCAATATGTATTCAATTTTATAAAATCTCTTTTCTTATAATGAAAACATGTGTTGATGTTATATAAGTAAGTGCATAAACTATGTTTGATTATATAGAAGAAAGAAACAGGGAATAGTTCCAGGAATTTTCTGTATTCTTTGAGTATTCTCAGGAAATAATTTATGGCAGGTGTGTACAAACATGTTTGGTTATGTACTACTAAAAGACCCCTGAAAAACTCCTTATTCTCTGATACTGTTTTAGGTTAGCATCTAAAACTTTTCATCATATACTTATACATATGATACTATGATACAAAATAAATGTATTTATAAATGTTGATATTTAAGTATAAAATTACTGATTCATTCAATTAAGTGTATCTGATGGAATCTAAATGCTCTGATTTAAAAATTGTCATCATTAAAACAGGAGATTAAATGAATTTGCCTAATAATTTACAATTCATCATTTTTTCCATGGACTCATATATCTAATGTAAATTGCCACATAATTTTATCCTTTAATATATTTGTATGATCAAAAATATTTTATTGATGATGCTATCATCTTTCTCTACAAAAAAAAAATGTAAAATAGAAGTTGATTATATTTCTTTTCATAGAAAAAGCTTTTTTCTATGAAACTTTTGGAAATTTCTTCCCTGTTCAGTTCTTATAATTATCACCAGAACACAATAAATCAAAATAGGCCAAATATATATTATGTATAAAATGCAAAATTTTATTGTATGTGCATCTTTTGAGGAGACAAAATTAGGATCCCCTCTTGTTTGTTCATGAGCTCATGGAGGTATATTATCATCACTACGATAAGACACTGATTGTCATAAATTTTCTTTTTTATATTTTTTAAGAGGTAAGAGTACCACATTACCTAAAGGGAAATGTGATACTCACATGTATAGAAAGTTAAGCATCCATGTCAAAACAGTCAATCTAATCATATTATTTTTTTGTCTGAAACAAACTTAATTTAGTTTAAAATTTAAAAAAAAGTGTTCACACATATCTCATTCTTACAACATCTCACTGAAATATAATTCAGATGAATGAATTAAATGATAGTTGATAGATGATAGTGATAGATGATAGATGAAAAGAATTAAGATAAAGTCAATGAAATGTGAAGTGGATCATTTTCTAGTGGGAAAAAAAATTGGAGAGCAGAGTAGATAAAGAAAAACTGTATTCAGATATTTGAGGAGATAATATCAATTTTAGAATAAAGTGTATTTCAGAAAATATATTTTCAGATCACCAAGTATATAGTTTTATAGGATAATATGCTATAGTATGAATTCCCTGAAATTATTGGCACCAAATTATCCCAATAATAAATTCTAATTTCATAATTTATTTTCTCATTGCAGCATAGATGTATCTGCTATTAGAGTGTCCTAGCTACATGCTACTTTTTCAAAAATCTATTGTACAATTTAATTCTTCCAGCATATCTATAATGGTGATTCTTTTATACAGTGTATAGTTATGTAAAATTGGGAGTCACAGAAGATAATTGCTCATAGTTTTATTAAAAAGTTAAGATAAGCCTAGAACAAACCCAAACTGCCTAACTCTCACATTATGCATCCCAAGTCTCCTACCATTTTAAAAATGAAGAGGACATAGGTAATAGTTTTTGACAAATCTATGGGGCTAACATTTTAAGACTCAAAGATACTAGTTGAGGTAGGATTATTAGTGACACCAGAATGTTAGCCTGACTATGAATCCAATAATGGACTCAATTTGCAAATATTAGCTCACTTTTCTGAAGTGTCTTTCCCAACCTAACCATTACATTCCAAAGAAGATTACTTTTTTAATTTTATGAAGTGATACAATAATCACACGGTCTCAAGATTTCTTCCTCCTAACCATCTCTATTTATGTTAGTCAATATAATCATCCTTCCATACCTGTGAGTTCTGTATCTTCAGATCCAACCAACTATGAGTGGAAAATACTTGAACAATAATTATCTGTAATGAACATGTAAAGACTTTTTTCCTGCTGTTATCCTCTAAACAATATGGTGTAATTAAAGGACTTGTGCATTTATTTGATATTATATGATTTAAAGTATGTGGGAAGATACATATAAGTTATACACCATACATATAAGTTATAACATACATATAAGTTATAACACCATTTTATATGAACGAATTGAGCAACTACTAATTTTGGTATTGAAAGAAGATCATACAACCAAACTTTTTTGGATGTTGAGGGACAGTTGCACAATTTTTTTTAGTAGAATTTTAAGATATACCACTATGTAATTCCCATGGCTACTGATTTCTTTGACTTAATAATTTTCTGCTAAAAGATTCTCCCAAAGTTGGGTTGCTGTTTGTATGTGAATATAAATGAACTTCTAGAACTTAGGAAGTGAGGTGAAGGGAAAAAAAAGAAAAAAAAAACAACACTTGTTTAATTTTTGTCCTCTCATGTAAGAAATATTTTTTTTTCTTGGAGAATTTCTCATAATGTAGTAGTCAGATCTATGCTCTATTGTTTTCAGAAAGATTGACATTCTAATTTTTACTTCAAAGCCTGACAGTTTGTAAACTTGTCTTACACTATTAATTTTGGAAGCCATCTTCCAATGTCTTTCAGAGAGGTAGTAACAGTCAGCTGTGTTGAAAAAATACTTCTAAAAATAGAAATAAAGATAATGGAGATGTAAGTGGGTAAAAATCAAAACCCTTGATTCTAGTGCATAATGCCAATTCAAAAAGAAAAAGAACAACATGAGCATGCTCAACTAGTGAAAAACAGAAACATGATACCACAGAGTTCTAACTTTTTTTTCTTTATACAAAAACTGCCACATACCTTTTGCAGATAGTGGAATTGTTCCAAATACTACACACACAAACACACACACACACACACACATACACACACACACACACCACAATAGTTCATGCCTACTGTTTTATTCAAAAAAGTTTGAGTAGTAGTATTTTCAAGAGATTCCATTTTAAGTTTTGTCAGAGCAAATTTATATACTTAATTACTATATATGATTTTCTAAATATAAATGTAAACATTTAAGGAAAGGAAGGTTTTTGTTTGTTTGTTTGTGTGTTTGGTTTTTAATCTTAGCAGAATGAAAGAAAAAAAAATCTTGCCCTGAAAATTTTTCTTGCTGATATCTTCTGATAGTCTTAAGTATTTCCTGCTTTTACTTTTTCTAAACAGGTTGCTGCTTATATTAAAGCAGCTCCGGCTTCTACCCAGGCCAAATAGTAATTACTCGTATATTCAACTGACAATTCACTTCCAACTTCATTCCTCCCACAGCTTTCTCTGAGTCTTTGAATCTGCAGAGCTAACTCCTTTTTGCCCATGACCTTTGACTGACTTATTTCATATGGCATTATTTGATACTGTTTTATGTAAAATACATTGTATAAAACTCAAAATAATTCTTACAAGGTGCACACTTGAAAGAAATAGATAAAAGATATTAAATAAGTTATACTTGGTCACATTATTTAGACATTTTAGAAAATGGATTTAAATCCATAAATTTCGGAATGTGAAGGTTAAGCTTCCTGTGTTGTATGATACTGTTTCTCAAATTGATGATTAGCACACCAGATGATCTCAGAATTTCAGGGAGGGGTATGTTAATTCTGGTTTTAGCTCTGTGGCTCTGTTTGGTCTTGGGGAGAGCTGATGTTATTAGCCTTGGGATGTGTAGTTACCAATTGTGTCCAATAATTTTTACCTATCTTCCATTTCTCATGATTGATGTCTTCACCACCACTCATGGCATATCTATTTACTGGTGCTATGGACTGAATGCAACCATATATTTGGATCCTAAACTTCAATAAGATTGTAGCAGGAGATAAGAGACTTTGGGAGGTAATTAGGTCCCACACTCAAGAATGCATTAGTATTCTTATTCAAGAAGACACCAAAAAGCTCTCTTGGTCCTTCTGCCAGGTAAAGACTTGGTAAGAAGACCGCCATATATTAACCAGAAAATCCCACCCCAGACACTAAATCTGCCTTGTTTGTTGACACCCCAACCTCCAAAACGGAAAGAAAAGAGTGTCTCATATTAAATTTACCCAGACTATGGCATTTTTATTTTAATAGCTAAAATGAACCAAGATAATTTATATTTATTAAAAATGAGGCAATATTGTAAATAGATTCATAAAGCATCACATTTAATTTACACAAAATTTCTTTGAGGAAATGTGAATTTTACATATAGGAATTTGACAGTATAATACTTATGCATGTGAGATAACACTGAGAAGTAAAAACAGGGTTTAAACAAGTCTTTTCTGCCTAGAATAGCCATATTCTTACTTCCCTTTCTTCCCCCACAAGCTCCTATGATTTCTAGGAAAACAGAAGTTCAGAGGAAAAATAGGCTCAGAACAAGATGGAAGGCTCACAGTAGAGTAGAAATTGAATGGATTCTCAATGATAAGTTGTTTTATTAGCCAGGATGAAAAGCAAGTAAAACTACTCTGAATAATAGCTTATTTTCAGCAAGAATGCCTAATATGTATAAAAGAAAATTTAACAAATGTACACAACAGGGAGGAAGAGGATAAGCTAACACAAACACACTAAGTATGAGATTTTCATTCTAAAGTTCTTCTTTCCCCTTTGTTTCTCATACTCAAAGCACTTGCTCATATACCACAATATCCTTCTCCATACCTAAGACTGTATGCATGCTGAAAATTAGAGCTAAAGTTCCTGGAATATTTGTAGATTCAAGTAGTAACACTGAAATACAGAGGAATATATATATATATATATATATATATATATAGAGAGAGAGAGAGAGAGAGAGAGAGAGGGAGAGAGGGGAGAGAGAATGTTGAATAGAAAGTAAATCTTAGGAATCATGTCGCCTAATCTTATTCATAGAATGCTATATTCATGATCTGAAAGGTTTCATCAGAAAGAGAAAACTAAAAATAGAAAGTATGGGTTAAGTGAGTGGGATATATGGCCTTTGGTGGGGGGGGGGTAGAAAAAAAAAAGAAAAGATAACTACTCACAGCTTAAAGGTTTAGAAAACTCTGCCACCACTCTGAAAGAATAAATTACATCATGAGCTGTTTTAGTGATTTCTTTATTTTGCAGGCGCACAGTATGGATTGATTTGAAGTGACCTGTATTTAAAAGCCTTGACATCCTTGGAAATGGAACAGTTCTGTGCCATCATGCAAGGGATGTCTCTCCCTTCCTCATCGAAGCAGCACAAAGCCAGCACTTCTATAGGATCTGACTTCTCAACTCCCGTCTTCCTATTTTCCCAACACAACAGGGCAATATCCATCCAGCGCTTGCTCCATATGACCTGCCTGCTGTCCCTGCCTTTCCTGTCTCCTAGGCTTCTTGCTTTTGTACTCAGATTAAATATGAAAGGGTTGGCACTGGAGAAACAGAAATCCGGGCTGAAAAGGAAAACTTAAATCTTGCAGTGCCACCAGTTGTTCACAACCATTATTTATGCTTATAATAGGACCTGATAGAAACACAGCTACCCTGCTTCTGATGGACCTACTTTAATATTAGTTTCAACACACACATGTGCAACACACAGGGGGAGAGAAAGAAAAAAAAAACCTACCAGTAATAAATAAAGCAAAACATTTTGTTCAATTGAAATATGAGCATTGCAATTGATTGGGAAAAGTCAGTTTTTTAATTCTAAGAGCACACATATCAATCATGTTTGCCAGAAGAAGAACAATAGTTAGGAAGGAGAACATTAAATGCACACTTAGATACCACTGAACATTTCAGGTGCAGGGCTACACAAAGGAACTAAGACAATCAATCCCACTGACCATGATCACATACCATGTACTAGATAAGATGCATGAAGTTCTAGAAAGTTTCCTACAGATGAGACCACATTCTCATCCCACTGGGTTAAGGAACATGCCTCTTATTTCAGAAAGGAAATAGAATTTTTCTAAATTTCAGTCTTGTCTTGTCATGAACTATATATTCTAACTTTATCTGCATTTCTCTCTTCTTCTCTCCTTCTTCATCTCTCCATTCAGCAGCATTTCAAAGAGTGCTTCTTCTCCAAAAACCAGCCCACTTTATGTGTTAGATATAAACTTCCTAAGTATTTTTGCTTATAAATCTTTCCTCTCATATTTTTTTAGATAAAAATACTTTTTTCCCTGACCGGCTCAAGAGGCTGAGTCAGGAGGATCACAAGTTCAGTGCTAGCCTCAGCAAAAGCAAGGTGCTAAGCAACTCAGTGAGACCTTGTCTCTAAATAAAATACAAAACAGGGCTGGGATATGGCTTAGTGGTATAGTGCTCTTGAGTTCAATACTAGGTACCCCTTCAAAAAAAGTTTCTTTTGCTTATGTTTTTCTCTTTGTCTCTCTCTTAGATCATTTGTTCTAAACCTTTAACTCCCTGATGTCCAACACTATAGCCCAAAAACACACCTGGGTATTGAACAGTCAAAACATGGCTGGTATGAATTGAAAGGTACTGACATGCCTGTTACAAAGTAGAAGGCCAAGACTTAGTATCCCATAAAAGTAAAACATTTCAGTAATAATTGTTTTATCTTGTTACATTAAAAAAATAGTATTTTAAATAAATTTGGTTGTTAAAATTAATTGTATTAGTTTATTTTGCTTTCTTGATGTGCTCACTAGAATATTTTAAAGGGTAGATGTGCTTTTTAAAATTTCTGTTGATTTGGAGGGTTGCTTTTTGTTTCTTTTTGGTGGAACATATCACTCATGACCTTCCTGAAAAATCTTGGCAAATCTTCTGATTCCTCTTAGGTCTATCAATGTGGTACAAGTTGAACATTTGTCCTAGTCTTTATTTCTCTGGGCACCATAAATGTTCCTCCTGAAGAGAGTCTCTATTCCCTTAACTTTAAAAACAGCCTTCCATGATAAAAACTCCAAAGTTAAATTGTGAAGCAATAATTCTCCCTGTCTTCATGTAATCTGAGACTGCCTTACTTGGCTTCATATTGGATGTTTTTACATGAATGGTATTTCATAGATGTCTTAAATAGAACTAGAATGTTTGATACACATTTCGGCTCACTTATGTAGAAATAGAAGACTTGTTTGCCCCCTTTTCAGATGAGAAAGCTAACAGCTTTCCTTGATTACTTTTTACACTGATAATTTAAAGGTCTTAATTATTCAAACTAGTCTGAAATGAATTTCTGACCTGATCATCCATCTCCATTTCTAGAAGAATCAGTTTTGAACAAACAATTGTGTCTTGAGACTATTTCTGAACTAGACTTATTGTTCTTACCCTTGTTGCCAACAAATCCATGTCCCACAACCAGCAGAGAAAACAGATGATCTATAAACTTATCCTGTGCTACAAGTGTTTATCTTAAATAAAATTAAGTAGAGCCCCCTGAATATGATATATATGACTCCTCATGTCACCATCTGGCCTATCCAATCCTTTCTCATCTACTTCTAGCCTTGCATACACACTGCTCTGGTCCTTGTTCGAAAATAAGTCACTAGGACATGCTCAAATCCAAATCACCAAGCTTTCTAGGCCTTGACTTAAGTTTTGCAGTACTGGCTTTTTTCCCCCCTTTGCAGTACTGGGGAGTGAATGCAGGGGTGCTCACCTAGAAGTAAGCTATATCCCCAAAATTTTTTACTGTTTTTACTTTTATCTTTGTCTTTGATAGAGGGTCTTCTAGTCTAGCCTCCAAGTTGTGATTCTCTTGCCTCAGCTTCCCTGAGTGGCTGGGATTATAGAGGTGAGCCACCACACCTAGCAGAACTAGTTTCTTTACAACCTTGAACCTTTGCTTGAAGGTCACCTACTTTAATAAATTTTCCAGTGCTCACCATCCAACCTAAGATCACTCCCACCATCGCAGTGGAATAGCTTTTCTTTTCATTTCAGAATTATATTTTTCTTTTACATTATTTCTTAAAAGGGACTTTATTTTTATTTACTTGTTCATTATATTACACCCTTTCTGTGTAATATCACATGTGAAATGTCAACAATCACTCTGTCTTACAGATCTTGGTTTCCTTGTCAATACATAACATTTGACATGTGAAAAGTTACTTGATAAAATAGGCTAAATAGTTCTGTAGATACCTATTTGCTTCTAAGAGACTCATTTTGTCATATTTATGCAATTTTTATAATTTTTTTGTGAAATATATTGGATGTCATATCTTAAATCCTCTTTGGAATTGTAGGAAATATAGAGGAAATACCAATCAATTTGAATTTGTCATAGTATGTTCAAGGAAGTAGAGAAAATCTGGGCAAGGGGATGAGTAGAAAACTACATCAAAAGAACATTATATATGTGAATGAAATACAGTGTTTTCAATAATTAATGCCCAAATCCACCATCATTGGCAATTATCATTAAGACCTCATGTTGTCAAATAAGTATAAAGGAAAATGTAAGTAATATAAGTACCTCTTTTCAACTTATCCCTATATCAATGTAGAAACATCTCATAATTTGATTGACAATCATTTATTTCTGAGCTCCTTCTTTTCAAGTTACATTTTCTTTGTCTCTATGAGGAAAAAAATGAAAATAGTGTGAAATAAAGATGAAAGTGACCAGATTATATTGCTATATTGTATGCACATACAAATATGTAACAATGCATCCCATTATTATGTGTAATTGTACTGCATCAATATTTTTTAATAGTAAAGGAAAGAAAATTCGATGTTTGTTATCTAAGCACAATTTAGAGAAATTAATAACCCAGCTTGAAGAATCTGGCACGATTAAAGGGCAGAAAAATGAAGCATTGGTGGCCTCCAAAAGCTCTTTATCATAGCTTATGTATATGATCAAGTGTGTTAATTGCATGTTTGAATATGTCATGATAAACCCATTTTTCTGTATAATTATAGTGCAGTAATAAAAAATATAAAATATAAAGAAAAAACTAAGAAAAGATAAGAAAATATTTAATAAATGATAGGTTATATAAATAAGAATGATGTATGCTTAACTTACATAAGCATCTGTTCAATTTTACAGCCGTGTCCATTCAGAAATAGAAATTGGAAATTGGAAATACTGTAATATAAATGCTGTGGAATAGCTCTATTTTTGTATAAAAATTTCAACCAGCCAGTTTTATTCAGAAGCTGAATTTTTCTGAAGCTAATCTAAAAGAATCACTGATCTCAATGAATTACTAAAGCCTTAGTACAGCTATTGTTAAAATGGGGAAAATGTCTTCAAACTATAGAACTTACTGTTTGAGTCTAATTCTAAACTCCTTTAAAAATGTTCCTTCTTCACCCTAAGTTGAAACTTGAATGGAGGTGGGTGGAGAAAGACATGCCAGGAATTAAGATTCTGATTTTGCAAATTCTTTTAAGAATTGTGATTTGGTTCTTCAGAAATATCAGCACAAATGAGGTAATTCCTTTAAAATAAAAGTTACATGGTGCAATTTCCATTCCATTAATCTGGTCTTTAGAAGTTACCTTTCTGTTCACTTTCCAAACTGTCATATCACATCTTCAGGTTAGAAAAAAAGGTTATTTCTTATTAAGAACTATAGAACATTAGAATTAGAAGGAAAATTGGAGCTACTTTAGTCAAACACTCATTTTACAAATGTGAATGTAAGAGTTCAGAGTTGATCTGAGTTGCAAGTATCCAGCTCACACAATAGCATTGCTGAGTCTGGTCAAGAGCCATATCTAGAAATGAACCCCAAAGCCACAGAGATAGTATTAATTAATACTCTGGGGCGGGCATAAGACAATCTTGAGAGTTGGAGCCAATGTATATTTTTGCATGCCTACATTTGTGACTTGAACAATAGAAAAAATATATCACCTGTAAATAAAGGGGTGTCCAACTTCAAGGTGTGATCATTCTATATCATATTGAATCTCTATTTTAGCTCCCTTGACATTTATGTCCCAAAAAATCTGAAGTTGTTTTGCATTAAATCATTGCCATATCATTGATTCATATTTTCTTTTATGCCAACTGATTTTGGCTCATAGAAAATATTTCAATATCTTGGACTAAAGTAAGGTGCTTAAGGATATTAGTAAGTAGACATTTTTCCTTTAGTTTTAGAGCTTTGTTTTTCTAGAACATTACTTTACTTTTGATTATACATTAATTATTAATATTTAGAAACAAGTAATTATTGAGCTAGAGTTAAGTCTACATGATATTCAACAGTCAGAATAATTACTTGTCATTACCTCAGTCTCTTACTGGATGGCCCTGCCCCATGGGTGTATCATCAATTCCAAATGACACTTTTCCCATTTTTTCCAGCTTGAAGAGCTACATCATAGCCTACTTCTTTATGAAGGTTGATAGCAGGATCTATTTTGTCTTAATATATTCAGGTTGCTATAACGAAATACCTTAACCTAGGTATCTTATGAACAGCAGAAATTCATTTTTCCCATTTCTGGAGGCTGGGAAAATCTAGTGTTAAGGCAGATTTGGTATACAGTAAAGAGCTGTTTCTGGCTCAGAGTTGGTACCTCCTTTACCTGTTCCTATGCAGGTAGAGAAGGCAAGGAGTCTCTCATGGGTTTCTTTTATTCATAAAAACTTCAAAGACTCTTAGACCTAACTGCCTTCCAAAGACCATGCCTGCTAACACCAGCACCTTGGGGTTCAGGATTTCTACATATGTCTTTTAGGGAACACAGATACACCAACCATAATGTAATCCTATGAAACCTGCAATTGCTCTCTGGACCGATCCATCCTCACACAAGCTTCCTGCAGAATGTCTTTCCCATCCCTCTACACCAGTGTGGAGCCTGATTTTTGTTTTTCATTTGGAAGAATTCTTGAAGACAAAAAGTATGCCTTCTGCTCTTTTCTGTATTTTTCATATTGCCTAGATAATTTTTAGGCACTGAGTCTAAGATCAACAAAGAAAGCTAATCAATCTTTAAAATAAAACAACAACAACAAAAACTCTGTACATAAAGAGATTTAGAAGAGATAATAATCTAACACACAAACTCATTTGCAGACAGATGGGAAATCTCTCAAATTGACACTACTATGTATACACTTGGGATTCAAATCCTGTATCCTGAATAGTAGGCCAATGTTCTCTTCACTCCCCATAGCCTCACTCACAACACCCAGAGATCATTAAGAAGAGAAGAAACAGTCACACGCCTTGGAGGGTTGATGCACATTCTTGTCTGCATGCAAGTCACCCAGGCCAGGCATCCAGAATGTCAGC